CCCAGGTAGAAGACCTTGCATTTGCATTTGTTGATCCTCATGAGGTTCACCTGGCTCCACTGTTCAACCTGTCATGGCTGTGCTCTATCCTTACATCCCCCAGCTTGTACTGACAGTGGGAGTTGCCGTGACCCAGGTGCAGAACCTTACGCTTGGATTTATTGAACCTCATGGAGTTCACCTGGGCCCACTGCTCAGCTTGTCTAGGTCCTACTGGATGGCATCCCATCCCATTGACTGCACCCCACAGCATGGTGTCATCAGCAAACTTGCGGAGGATGCACTTGACCCCACTGTCATTGTCATTCACGAAGGTAATAAGGAGTATCAGCCCAGCACTGACCCCGGAGGGCACCACTCATCACTGATCTCCATCCAGACACGGAGCCATTGACCACCACTCTCTGGACTCTCTGTGATGTTACCTTTTTTCCACTCACCAAGGACTTTACCTGATTACCACGACTTGTCAAATATCATGGAAAGTGGTTTGGCAACTACATCAGCCAATTCCCTCAGGACTCTTTGATGCATCTCATTGGGACCCATAGACTTGTGGATGTTCAAGTTTCTCAGGTGATCACAAACCTGATCTTCACTTACAGTGGGAGGGACGTTGCTTCCCCAGTCCCCTCCTACCAAACCAAACATTTGAGGACTGTGCAGTGAGCAGTTATCTGAGAAAACCGAGTCAAAAAAGTTAACTACCTCAGCCTTCTCCTTGTCTGTTTTTACCAGCTAGCCTGTGTCACTCACTAGGGTGGGTACACCCTCCTGGACTTCCCTTTCCTGGTTGAGGTACCTGTAGAAGCCTTTCTTGTTCTTCTTGGCATCCCTTTACAAGTTCAGTTCAAGTTGGTCTGTGGCTCTCCTGACCCCATCCCTACACATCCTGGCTTTCTTATACTCTTCCCACAATACTTGTCCCTGTTTCCACTGCCTGTGTATTTTTTTTCTTGCTCTTCAATTTGACCAGCAGGTTCCAGTTCAGCCACACTGATCTCTTGCCTTCTTTTCCTGACTTGCTACACCTGGGGATGGAGAGCTCTTGCACACTGAGGAAAGGCTGGAGCACCTCCCCTCCAAAGACAGGCTGAGGGAGCTGGGCTTCTTCAGCCTGGAGAAACGAAGGCTGTGGGGTGACCTCATTGCAGCCTTTCAGTACCTAAAGGGAGCCTACAGACAGGAGGGGAGTCAACTCCTTGAAAGGGTAGATAACAGCAGGACAAGGGGAAATGGTTTTAAGAGGGAGGGAAGATTGAGGTTGGATGTCAGGGGGAAGTTCTTTACTATGAGAGTGGTGAGGTGCTGGAACAGCTGCTCAGAGAGGCTGTGGATGCCCCGTCCATCCCTGGAGGTGTTCAAGGCCAGGTTGGATGGGGCCCTGGGCAGCCTGGGCTGCTGTGAAATGTGGAGGTTGGTGGCCCTGTGTGTGGAGGGGGGTTGGAGCTTCGTGATCCTTGAGGTCCCTTCCAACCCAACCATTCTGTGATTCCGTAAAGCTTTCTTAAAGATCTGCCTGGTGTGCTCTGCATCCTTACCCACGAGGACAGTTTCCCAGGGTGTTTTGTTAACTAACTCCCTGAAGAGTTGGAAATTAGCTTTCCTAAAATTTAGCATCCTGATTTTACTTTTTGCCTTTCTCATATCCCTCTGGAACATGAACTCAACCGTAGCATGGTCACTACAGCCCAGACATCCTCCTGTCCTGCTGTCACCAGTCAGTTCCTTTGCATTGGTGAGCAACAGGTACAGTACTGCATCCCACTTAGTGGGCCTTTAATTACTTGGCTCAGCAAGTTGTGCTCAATGCATGTCAGGAGCATGGTTGACATGCTGGGTTGACTACAATTTGCTACTTTTCCAGCAGATGTCTGGGTGGTTGAAGTCCCCTGGCAGGATGAGCACTTGCAGTCGTGATGCCTCCTGTAGTTAGAGGTAGAAGGCCTCATCAACAGGCTCTGCTTCATTGGGTGGCCTTAGTAGGCACCGATCGAAAGGCTCCCTTTGCTGCTGTGGTCTCTTGCTGTTGCCCATAGGCTTTTGACTTGCTCACGATTGTTCTTTAGGGGCACCTCTTCACATTCTGTTTCTCTCCTGATGTAGATAGCAACACCCCCTCCCCTTCTTCCTGATCTGTCCCTTCTGAACATCTTGTAGCTGTCAATAGCCACACTCCAGTCATGGGAATCACCCCGCCAGGTTTCAGTGGTGGCAGCTATATTGTTGTTTTTCTAGAAGCATAGTAGCTTTCAGCTCTTCCTGTTTGTTTCCAAAGCTGTGTACATTGATGCAGCAGCTGGGCAGCTGGTCTTTTCACCTACTTAAAGGATAACTCTTAGTTTCTGTAAGTATTTCTCTCGATTTTCCTTGTTGCTGTCTCCTATTGCCCCAGCAGTCACTGCCTCATCATCATAGGATTTTGTATGTGCTGCAGTGTTGCCAGCACCTCTCAAGGCAGCAGGTCCTTCAAGGCCCTTGCTAGCACCCTGTCCCTCTAGCTAGCCATCACACGCTATATCATGGGAAGGCTCAGTAACCCGTTCATCCCTTTTCAGACCTTAAAGCCCTCCCAGTCAGCACTGCTAGCTTTTCCCCAAGCACCCTTCTCCCCCTCTGAGAAAGGTGAATTCCATCTGGTGCTCACAAACCTGGCCATTTGATTGTCAAAAAAAACCCCAAAGTTCTGGTGGTGGCACTGGCCACGAGGCCAGGTATTTAAAGATAAGATCCTTTGATTTGTTTAGCTAGATCCATGGTGGTGATAATACTAGAGCTTCACCTGCTTTGACTACAACATCACATAGATTCATCAGTTTTTCAAATTCCATGATATTTCTTCCATGGAGTTTGTTCTTGAGTTCTGACAAGCATCTAGAAACAAAGGAAATAATGTTCAGTGAAGGGAGTCTATGAAATAGCTGTTCAGAGTAGTAAAATTTGCTGAGTTAATTTTTGTATGCATAACGATGATTTGGTTTCCTGACTAGGACTTCAGTGCACATGATATAGTCACGTAAATAATAGTCTTGACTTTTCTTTATCAGGTAGCACTTGAAAGAGGAAATAGTTCTTGGCTCTGAACAGAGATCTTTGTTTTGTAGGTGGGTTTGGTGAGACATAGTCCTGAGTCAGTTGGGCTAACTACTAGAAAAACCATTTTCCACTCTGTTTTCCAACTTTCCCTTCTCTAGAAATGTTTTGTGCAGCACACCACACCTTTGAAGAGGAATTTACATAGGTATACATCACTTTAAAGGATACAGTGACAGAAGGGATGATATATCTGCAAGATAAAAGAATATACTTCTAAAAATGCCATGCAGAGTCTTTGGTCCAGGGTGCTGACAGTGCCAGAGCTGGAAATGCGCTGTGCACAATGCTTGCAGTAAAGTAAGGGTAACCAGTTGTCCTCTTCTTCAGATCTAATGGCAAAATCTCACCTGTTTTTTGGTGGGGGTTCAGGTCAGTTTCAGGAACTGCTCCGTAGAGGTGACTCTGAAAGTTCTGGGGAAGAAGCAGATGTTCATATATAAATGATTACCTCCAATGTCCAAATCAGCGTTATAGACAGTCTGCCCTTCTTTTAGTGAGGATGGAGTTGTTTCTGTGTCTTTCTTTGCTTCCTAAGCTACCAAATCAAGTGGCAGTACATTAATAGTGCAACTAGCTGCGCTGCTGTAATTTAGTTTAGTCAATGAACAGCAGCGTAGAAATAGGACTGCATTTGTGTAGCTGTGACTGCAAATAGGACTGAGAACAATGGGATGTAGTAATAGCACATGGAATTCAAACTGAATGTCCAAAATTTGTATTTGCAGTGGATTGATTTAAGCTGGGAGTGAAAGAGTGAGATCTGTGTTAGCACCACTTATTCAAAAAAGATTGGGAGGAAAAATTGCTGTATGGAACAGAATGCATGTTTCCATTGAGAGCAACTGTGCTGGGGCCAATCCACCAAAGCAGAAAAACAACCATGGAAAATAATAAGTGCCTTCGAAGGCCTAGCTCTCCCACTAGTAAATGATCTACAATTAAAGGAAAATGTATTCTTTTCAAATTTAGAGCAGCTGTCCAACATCTGAACCTGCTGCTGATCAAAGCTGATCAAAGAATTCTTAAGATTCTACATTATGGACAATCTACAGAAAAACATAGTAGTCCCTGCTTATGGCTTGCTTATCAGAGTCCATTGAAGTAAACAGGACTCCTTTTGTTGTTTTTAATGCAGATCTGATAAGATCTCTAGAATGTAAATCAGTTCATTAAAATTTTTAAAGCGCTTAAACGGAGTAAAAGAAAAAAACAGTTTAACTTTTATAGGATGTTTACTGCATATAAAGCACAATAAAATTATAATTATTTAGGAAAATATTGTTAAAATGTGCTGTACTCAGAGTATCTTGTCTTGGGCTAGATTTAAACTTTTAATTGTGATTTAAAAAAAAAAAGCAGTCTGACTCTAGACATCTTACTCTTTGATTGTGCCAATAATGCAGCCAATCTAAACCCAGAGTGTTTGTGTGCAATATATGTATGTGTGTATATACTGACCCAACGACCAAAATGAATACTGAGCACCTCTTGTAGGACACTGCCTCAGGGGCATGCAGGGGAAGAAGGTGACTGGTAATTAAAGAAGCAGAGTCATGGCCTACGATGTCTTATAAGAATGTGTTTCACTTGACAGCAATGACTCTGATATTCATAAGGTTGCCTGTTTTGCTGCATCTCCTGCTGTGATATTCTGAATGCCAAGGTGACGCTGCAAATGCTGAGATAATATTCTCAGTTATCTGAAGCTTTTGGGAACTTTTCAAAGAGTTAGTGTGTATATGAGTGCATGCTGTTATTACCTTATGCATATGCAGGTTGACAGAAAATGCACTGTGTCTGTATCCTTTCTGTAGGAGTGTGCATAAGCAGGCAGCTGACACCTTCCAGTGAGGCTGTGTTAGAATGTTTCTGAAAAAAACTTTCTTATTCTCCCCTTCTTGCAGTTACTTCAATGAGAATCAATATCCTGACGAGGCAAAGAGAGAAGAAATTGCCAACGCCTGTAATGCAGTTATACAAAAGCCAGGTGAGGAGCTGATCGCGATGTCCTTTCCAAAGGCAATTACAATTAGATTTCAGCATCTCCTGCTAAATTCAGTAAATGTAATTTTATGGCTATTACTAATAATTCAGCCCTCTCAACTAGCAGTAGGTTTCTTCTCAAGCCTTCTTTGCCCTGCCTTCTTCAGAGCTGCCAATAATGGGATGAACATGAAAGTCAATGCAGTTTTCAAACCAAAATACCTGTATCTGAAACTTAATTTTTCACCAGTTGAGGTATGAAATACAAGGTGTGTATTTCATTTATACAGCTTTGTAAATGGCATTGCTAAGAAAATAAACATTCTCTGAAAGGCTTTCATTCTTTAAGGTCGGGTCACTTATTTCAAAGTACTTCTGTAAGCACTTAGGAGCAATCGGCAATTTCATTACACTCCATGAAAAGGGATTTTACTTGGTTCTGTTTCACAGATGGCAAATCTTAGGTTTACAAACTGAAGCTTGATGGAGATCAAGTTGAAAAATGAAACCACAGCTTTCCCACCTTCCAGGATTTTTTTGGAACTTCTAGACAGGAGTCTTGCATTAGAATCTGAGTGGGAGAACTTGTATTTGAATCAGCAAGTTGCGTTTCCCCTTTTCACAGAGAAATTATGCTTGATAGAGGAGCATGAATGCTCTGTTTAGTATTAGTAAGCCCAGATTAGTGGACACACGTGCTGTTGCCTTGGTTTATGAGCCAGACATTTTCAGAATTTGTACTGTGGGCATTTATATTTTATCTAACCAGAATAAAAATTAATGCAGAAGAAAACAAGTGCATGATTTCTGAACAGAATAGCACAGAAACGTAGACTAAGTTTGAAAGTGACCATTTGATCAAGCAGAAGCATCTTAGAGTAAGGTGTGCAGGGGCCTTTGCCTTTTTCATTCTTGAATAGCTCCAAAACCAGAGGTGTTCCCACCTCCCTGGGCCCTTTGCAGTGGTGATTGCTCTCCTGCATTGTTCTAAATGCTAGTCAGAATTTCCCTTGTTTCAGCTTTCGTGTTGCCTCTTGCCTGTTCACGGTGGAAGCAAAAGGATCCAGGGAGTAGAGAGCTGAAGAGGTTAGGATTTTAGGGCTGGCAATGCCACTGGATTGTTCAGCAGCTTTGGACAAGGCACTGTGTCTGAGGATTAGTAACATACTGTGAATGGTACTGGTACAGAGCATTAGGAAGCAGTATCTATTTCCAGAATTTTATTTCGTTCACTCATTCCATTTCTCTTATTTAAGTTTGCAGATGCTGATTGCTGTAATTATGCAAGTGTATGAAATGCTGAATAAATAAACTTTGAGAAAGTAAGAAGCACACAGTGAGGTCTCATCCCTGTGCAGGCTGCAGGGAACTGAATGTGCAGCTATATCAGCCACCTCAGATAGTCTTATAGCTAGCTTGAGAGGTTTCCATCATCCCTCTGCAATGCTGATTCCCCTGTCTTCCCTTTTTAGGCCAGTCATCAGGCGAAGGAGTTCTTTGCTGTAGCTGGGTGGTTGTTATTAGGATTATTTATTTTACTGATTGTGTAACATTCCAGTGGTCTGGTTTCCAACATCCCCTGCCCCATCTCCCAGAAGATAAAAAGTGTCCTGGCAGAATGGAGAGGCTCTGATGAGTGCTGTGGGAGTACGATAGCAGCTGCTGGTGGAGAAGAAGGAAAGCAGATAGAAGAGAGACAAAATTCCTTCATTCATTTTGCTGCAACCAAAGAAAACATGTCATTGAACTGCACCCTTGGGGCACATAGTAAGAGAGCTGGCCCAAGGGTATGGGATTTATGGCAGGGCTGTGGATTGAGTTTGAGTTTTTTGAATCTCAGTTTTGTGCTTGAACTAGAAAAGGAGCCCTCTATTCTCCCATGGCTTGGGATTTGGTTGATTGAAGCTGCAAAGAAATTTGTGTATTTCAGATTTTAAAAACAGAAGAAAGGCTACTTTGTTTTTTGAGAGATATTTGGCATTTGTTACCATAGCATCTGAGCACAGAGCTCTGATTCGCATAAAATGCGCTTCATTCTCAGTTCTAACAACTTTCCAGTGCTGTTTTTATTTCAGGAGTTCACCACTTGTACAAGGGTAGTCTGCCTATCTTTTTTTTTCCCCTCCATTATTGTTATAGGAAAAAAATTATCAGATCTGGAGCGAGTTACCTCCCTTAAAGTGTACAACTGGTTTGCCAACAGAAGAAAGGAAATCAAGAGACGAGCCAATATCGGTAATGTATCAGAGAGCCTGCTTTCAAGGTTCAGTACATTGACTTGCTCAGGAGAGATAAAAATTACACAAGATTGCCTTACTGAAAACACGTGAGGTTCTGATAATAGAAATGTGGGGCAATTTTTAAAGAAGAAGAAACGCTTTTCCGGATTTTTTTCTCAAATACAGGTAGGAATTTAGTTTATGAAATTCCATCGTCGATGCAGGAAAAATGAGACAGTCACAAAGTTTTATTGGAAGATCAGTTTTTAAAACCCAAACAAGAATTTAGTTTGTGGAGAGAGAATCACATTCCCTGTACTCAGGCTCACCTGGGCATTCCAGATACAATCTGAAATAAAACCTGAAAACGTCTGCATTGAAAACAAGGGAAATTGAGACTATTGCAAGTTCAGAACCTTAGTGTACCATTTAAATGAGAAGTGGTTGTAGTGAGGAGCTTTTATATGGTTGTAAGTTTCCTTGTGTCCGTGTTCCACTGAAATGCACTTGTTTTTTCTGCCAAAACCCAGGGCTGTCTCTCTTACTGCCATCCCTCAGACCCCACAGGGATCTAAGAGGCCAGATGAGTTGTTTTACCTCTCAGATTCAGCCACAGGGACCAAAGGTTGCACAAGACAACTTCTTATTCACGTTACACCTGTGCTCCCTACTGCTTTCCATGGGGTTGTACAGCATTGAGTGGCTGGAAGAAAGTAATATTTTTCCTTGATGATCAGAATGAAGCAGAAGCTAGCCCTGCAGGCCTTTTGTGCTTGAATGCCTCATCATAAGGAAATAAGAAGTGATGCTGAACTGACAAGAAATACACCTTCTCATATGGATAAATGCAAGGCATTCTGATGAGAATAAACTCACATTAGCAGCCAGGACCCAACAAACTTCTGCCATTTGGGCAAAGTTTTATGCACAAGTCTAAGTACTGTGCAGAACTGAGTTTGCAACATATAGGCAAAATAAGGCCCGTATCTGCATGTTAACTGTTATTTTTGCAAATGTTGGAAGTGCCATCCTGCTGCTTTTTGTCGTATTTGTGAAGATGAAAAAGTTCTTTCTACAAGATGTAGCATGTTATTGAGATTTGATCTACGTTTACTGTTCAAAAATGAAACCTGTCTGTCTAAGTGGGGGGGAACAAACAAAAAGGGGAACAAAGGGGGAACAAAGTTAGTCCAAGGCGGGTGGTGTTACAGCTTTATCTGTACTGTTATGTTATGTGTGGGGAGGAGGGTTGGAAGGCGATTGAAAAGATCTAAAGGGAGCTTTAGATGCATGGATCCTACTGGAAGATGAAGATGTATTGTTTTTAAATCCCTTAAGTGCTTTTAAAAATTTCTCCATCTATTTTCAGACACTCCCCGCCCCCCTCAAGTCCTGCCAGTCCAAACTATGTGGGAAGATCTACAGGGAATGCTTTTGCCACTCCAGTGCATTAGAAATTAAGCTAATTTCTAATAGGACTGGCTGGAAAACAAGGATTCTTACTCGCAAACAAGTCTGTTAGTTGACAGGGAAGGATTTCAGGCAAACCAGTATCTGTTCATGTGCTACCTTCCCAAATACTGGAGAGTGAAGAGGAAGAGTCTGAGAACTAACTCTGTTCTTCCAGTTATTTTAACTTCTTGAAAAATTAGCTAACTTTTAATTACTCTAATGCATCAGATAAATTAGGGATCCATTTGCTTTTTTCGAAGAAGCAGCAATCCTGGAGAGCCATGGAATAGATGTACAGAGTCCGGGAGGTCATTCCAACAGCGACGACGTTGATGGCAATGACTACTCAGAGCAGGTGAGCATCATGGCTGAGCCACGTGTGCCCAGATGAGAGAGTTCAGTGACACGTGCAGAGGCCCTCTGCCTCGCAAGTCAGATGTGTCTTGTTCTTGTTTTGCTTTGATGTAATTGTAAAGGGGAAAGTGGAAGAGCACAGCTCCCCTGTTTGAACATGTTGAGCAACGAGCATTCACCCACATGGATTTATTGTCATACAACAGGACACTTGGCAAGTACGCAATGGGGAGGAGGAGGGAAGATGTTCAGAGGGAGGCAGAGAAGCAGAGAAGGTAGAAGAAGACAGGAGGATCTGCTCCAAACAAGCAAGTTACACCATTCACGCCACACGCAATGTATGAAAAATGTTAGGAGAGTGTTACCCAGTGCACCGTGCATAACTTGAGCTTTCCTTAGCCCTGGCACCGTGCTAGTAATCCGCCCTCAAGGAAGGATGTACAGGTCTTTAACAATTGCTCTGATGTATCAGGCACCAACTTATTTCCCTGCAAAACTAGGCATGTGTGTCCCTCTCTCACCTTTTGTTTCTTTATGCAAGAAATGTGTCTCTGTGATTGCCTGTGGTACAGCTGTTGTGAGTTGCTTATCTGGCACCCAGATGAGTACAGCAGTAAGCCCCTGCCCAGAACACTTCATCATAATCCCTTTTGTCAGCCCTGCTCAGCAAGATGCTGAGCTCCCTCCTGTGAGGTGCTGAGCTCCCTCTGCGTGTCCCTGGGAGCACTTTTCAGGGTGGCTCAGGATCACTCCCTAAGATGCTGACAGACAAAGGGAGAAGGGGGGGGGGGGGGGAATGTGATTAACTAAAGCTTGACATTTATTTGGCCCTGTACCTGCTTCTTATTGTTCTGCAACGGTGTGCCACTATTTGGGTTGTTTACATATTATCTTTTTTTCTTTTTGCATTTTAACTCTTGCCTATTCTCTATTTTTCTTGATTATTTTTAACCCTTGACAGCAACTTCTTTTTTAAATTCTCCAGCAAAAGAATACCCCTTCCCGCACTCTGAGCCCTCACCTACCCTAAAGTTGGTGACCCTTCCTTCACACACCTTCCTGACAGGTATTGCATTCGCTTCCCAATTTTCCCTCAGGTGTCAGTGTTGGCCAAAACTCATCAGGGATGTGTGTGCTTGGCACCAGGGGACTTGTAGAACAGTTCATTTGTTTGGTTCTGGCTTTGATATTAGCTCTGTTCTGTGCTACGCCCAACATCTGGGGTTGGCAGATCATTTTTAATTGACTCATTTGGGAGAAATAGTTATGTCTCCCTCTCTAAAGGAGTGCTTCAGCAATGGAAAGCGCTGGAATGAGTCCCTAGCAGGCTTGGCTGTGGCCCAGTGTGACAGATCTCTGGCAGAGGGGTTCCCAGTCACTCTGCTTCTGATGGACATTAAGGCCCTTTTTATAGGTCATCACCAATAGATTTGGTGGAACCAACCTTGCTAGTTTTAAATAATGAGGATCAGCTCTGTGACAGTTCTAAAATATTTTGAAGCTCCTGTCAAGTGCGGTTAATTCCTGTTCAGTCAGATACAGAAACTGAATACAAGAGTTATCTAGACTCTCAAACTATATTTTTCTGGTGCGTTACCCAAAATGCTTTAAAAAGATGAATAAACTGGATAGAAAATGTAAAGATTTTTGTTCAGAGTCCTTAAAATCTGCATTTCTCAATAATCTGGCTGGGCTTGTCTATGAAGTGTAATTAGGCATCGGTGTTGAGGCAGAATAAATGGCAAGTTCTCCTGATGACCATTTGATATCCCTTAGCAGTTAAAACCATAAATTCTGCTTTCCACAATGACACTTAATCTTCAAAGTTCATCCAAATACAGGTGACTAAGAGAGCAAAACTCAGGACTCTGCTTTGCATTTCTCACTTAATAAACACTACTGAGGTGACATCACAATATTTGCTATTTGTTGTAAATGAGCACATTCCTTCATATAACTAGGATTTTACCAAATCTTGCCTATTCTGTCTCCCTCAGCATTTGTCACCCTCATCTTAATTTGAAAGTGCTTAAATATACATACTAACATTAAAATTTTGCATGTTCATCACTTAGTGGCTGTTGAAGACTGATCATTGTTATTTCTTTTCTGTAAACCTAATGGCAAAATTGTCATGTGGTCACTATTAGTGCCTCATTTTAAAGAGAGGAGAACACTGTGATTCTGCCCAGCATCTCAGCACAATTTGTTTGACAGTTGAGATTAGATTGGATATTGTTGTTTCTCATTCCTGTTATTTTAAACCAAGCCCTGTTTCTGGTGTAGACTAAGAAGCATGCACACTTCACTATAAAATTATGTCAAGCATTTGATGTGACATTGTATGGCCATTATGTGCCTAAGAAGGTAACCCTTTTTTTTCTTGATTTTATAAGTATCACTGCAGGCCTGCAGCATTAATTTCCCTGTATTAGGTTTGCTTGCCAAGCATCACAGCAATCAGCACAGTGGTCGTCCTACAGCTGAGAGACCTTGCTCTTTAGAAAATAAGCATGAACAAATATGTAGCACTTAGTTCAGCAGACTGGAGAACTCAGCAGAGGTTCACCTAGATATTGGAATTACGGTAGTTCCAGTCCCACCAAATCATTGCACTGTTTTTCTGAGCAGGCTGGAAGCTTTTCAGCACCTTTTTCCCAATACCTTTGTGAATTCAGTTTCTTCGTAGGACAGCGGCTCAGAGCAGAGATCTGGGTGAAGTCAATACCACTGTTTCAGGAAAAGTATTCTTAAAGAATAGGGTAATTATAGAGTGATTTTATTATATTAGCGTCCAGCTTCTGGAAATCACTAGTCTTGAGAGACTTCCTGAGCCAGGCGGTGTATCCACTTTCTTTTTAATAGTTACAGTAGACTAATTTTCCATGCACTTGTCTAACCCCTCTTTTTAAAGGCATATTTACTTTTGTCTAATCTAAAAATCAGTGAATCCTACAACTGAACAGTGATAAGAGAAGAGCTGCTTCCTGTTTTTGCTTTGGAACGTATTATCTCATCGTTTCAGTGAGCACCCTTGCTTATTAGATCATCAGAAGTAGCGAACAGTTGTTCTCTATTTACTGATTATTTGCAATAAGCATTTACCATATCAACCATCAGCCATTTCTTTTCCAAGCTGAGGAATCTGAGCCTCTTTAGTCCCTCCCTGTAGAGAAGCCAGCCCCTGACTCTTTCTCCTGATTGCCACTCTCACTACTTTTCCTACTTCTGTTATGTCCTCTTTGAACGGGATGAGCAGAACTGGTTACGGTATTCAAAATGTAAGCACAGCATGAATTTGTGCAGTGGATAATGATCCCTACCTTAGTTTGGTTTCCTGACATATGCTGTATATTGCTTTTATCTTTATGATTTCCTGTTTTCCTCAGAATATTCCCTCTGCTTAAATTTTTCTCTTGAAAATCGGGTACACCACTCCTTACCCCTCTTACCTTTGTCTGCACATTGAGGGAAATCAGCTGTGTAAACTCCTTTCATGTTGTACCCCTGTGACAAGTGTGCAATTTGCTGCCCCTAGGCCATTATTTTATACGCTGTTTTTGTTAGCTGGTTTTCTGCTTGTGTAATAACCACACTTCTCTCTTCTCCTTTCCTCCTGTGCAGGATGACAGCACTAGCCATAGTGACCATCAAGACCCCATTTCATTAGCTGTGGAAATGGCAGCGGTAAACCACACCATCTTGGCACTGGCCCGGCAAGGAGCCAACGAGATCAAGACAGAGGCTCTAGACGACGACTGATAGAAAGAAGGGGGAGGGTCGAAGCAAGAAGTAACTTAGTTTTAGACGTAGCACCTTAGCAGACTTTCCTCGGTCCTTAATATGTGTTCTTACAGTATAACTTTGCAGTTTCTTGTACGTCAGTTAGCTGTTAGGGTCTTGTTCTGTGAAGATGGCATGGTGCCCTCAGCCTTTGCGTATACTCTCTCAGTATTAATTCCCCATAAATAATCAATCAACCAACCAACCTCCCTCTCCCAGCCCCAGTGGCTAGAAAAATCTTGCTGCTCTATCTTAGCATTCAAAGTGCTTCCAGGTATTTTAGACAGTCCTCAATTACAAGTCTTAGGCTACACTTAAAATCTTGGATACCTTTAGAGATTGTGTAAAAATAGTCTGTATGCTTTTCCTTCTCTGAGACTGAAAGGATGCAAGCTGAGGTAGTGGCACAGGGTCGATGGACACCAGACTGGGAGTATCAACAGAGAGTAAAAAGAACACTAGAAACCCCACTTCAGCTGATTCAGATTTCCAGCTGCAATAAGCTGTGCCTCACTGGTCATACAGTGACTTGATATACTTTTGGGTGCTGTGCTAAGAATGTCCATTGGAAACACATTCACATATTTCAGTTGATGTTCCCATATTCAACACAGACATCCTCTACTCACAAGCTGTGTGGCTTAGTGGATAAGTACTGCCTTCTGCCTCTGGGACCATGATTGAAGCCCAGCCTGGGATCATATGAAAAATGAGCTGAATGTCTAATGGACAACAGTCCACCTCTCAAAACCACTATTCATTATTTGGCATGGCTTGTAGTGCCTGCTCAGAAGAGGTCTAGACTCTATTGATCTGTCACTAACAATTTCACTTTTTATTCTTCCTTTTCTGTCCCCACCCTGTTCCCCTCTCCACTTTGCCACTTTCAAAAGCAATGTTTTCCAAGAAGGTTTTAAGGTCATGAAACGGGTGAGTGATTTTTTTTACACGTCTGTGTAACTAATGCCTACGTCTAGCCCGAAAGGTTATTCAAGAAGTTTGACATCTGACCTTTGCTAGTTAACCATCATAGCATAAATATTCTCCTAAATAAGAGCTTTTGCCTTTGCTTAAAGGCAAGAGGATCTCTTACCAGAGAAATGGGGTGTGAATGTTTTGTGTTCTCTTTACTCTGTCCTTGTTAAGATGTGAGAAAGCTATACTGCTACGAGCAATTTAATTAATAATTGGAAGCCATACTGATAATGGATGTGGTAATATTTGTAAAGCAAACCTACTTTAAGTAGCAGAATCTAATGGAATTGTTTTCCTTGATCATATGTAGCACTTTTGTTACTTTTTTCTTAAAGATATTTATATTTGATAAGTCTTTTTTTTATCATTTGAGAATTCAAAATGCCAAACAGCAAACTCGCATTACAGAGTCACCCTGCGATCGCCTTGTCATCTACTATCTAAATGATGAACTGTGTGTGCATCTAAGAAAATTGCATCTGCTGGCATTGTGTGGAAGCGATCTCCTGGCATCCTGATAAAATGATGTGTTGCTGCCGGTAAGAGGAAACATCTCAATGGAAACAGCACGGGAAGTGTTAGAGACAGGCAGGACTGTGTTACATTTAAAAAAAACTAAAAAACAAAACAAAACAAAAAAAAACCTAAAAAAAAAACCCACAAAAAAACAAAAATTATATTAAAAAAAAAAAACTATGTAAATTTTTGTATATAGATATATATAAAAATTTCCATAGTATTTCCAAAACATTCCATTTGTATCTTCCCCACTTACGTGGGAATAGCTGAAGAGGGGAAAATAGCTGAATTCTGAAGGATGGGCTTCCTTCTTGTCTCATCCGCTTTTGAGGGGACAGAGGGAAGTCACAGCTACTTGGTTTGTTCTCATCCTCCCTTCCTCATGCACAGCAATCAGTCAGCATCGTGACCTCCCAAATTGTGGCTCCTCAGAAGGTTTCTAGGCAGCCTAAACCCACTCAGGGTGTAAGCTAGCTTACATCATCCTCACATCTGTTAGTCTCACCAAAATTGCTTGGGTAAGTGTGGAGATTTTGTGCTTTCAGAGGGTGCAGACCTGGCACCTCTTTGTCTCTGTAACTTTGAAGATAAATAGGTAGGGCTTGGCCTCGTCTTTCATTTATGGATTTCATTGGAAAATTTATGTGCTTTCCTTAGGTATAGATCACTGAAGCAGAATGAAGCCGTCTTGTTCTGTTTTATTGCATTTCTTGAGTAGGCAAATTTGTAAGTAGCATCAGGGCAGACTCGGGGAAAACACAGAATTGGATCAGCTGCCATTGCACCATTGCAGTTTATTTCTTAATGTGTGTGTGAATGTTTTGGTACTAAGGAGTGAAAGGACAGGGAGAGCTTTTTATCCCTATTTTTGCACAGCAGAATGATCCAGCAAACTTAGCCTTAGTGGAATTTTACCTTATTCATACTGCAGTCACACACCAAGCTGACAAGCAACATCCACGATTTATAGGAAGGAGATTTTAATAATCGATGGCCTCTTTATGTTGGGATTGCCACCACCATTTGTCCTGGCTGTTTCATTTTAAAGAGAACAGATTCAAACTGTTGGACAGCTGCAATTTTAGAAGAAATATTGCTTACTATAGCATCTTGAGAAAAAAAAAGTCATTGTTTCAAGCGTCGCCTTTTTAAAGCAATAGGGAAGAATAAAAATCCTTATTCTGATTTTTGGTTCATGTGATGCAGGATCAGAGTAACACCCCTAAAACTGTATGTCCAGACCATCTGATGTCCTTTATAGTGATATAATAATCTGACCATAATTCTGTCTGTCAGTGTCAGGTAGCTGCTGGTCTCATCAGGCGTCGATATCCAGTATGAAGGTTAATCAGATAAACCACTTGTGAACAGCTGAAGATTGCCAGATCCTCCTTGTCTGTAGATTTGAAGATAAATACCAGTTTGCTGCTCTTTCACATCGTCTCACCAGAGCAAACAACAAATTACTTAACCAAGGAATCAGTCATGCTGAAAAAAGAAAAAAAAAAGACATTTGGTGTGTTTCAGGTTTCTGTCACCTTGGTTTGCACTTATCTACAAGAGGAATGAGGTAGGAGTAGGAGTTCAGGTGGTGCAGCAGCCTGTTTCCTTTATTCTGAAGGTTCATAGCAGACAGTTTGCAAATGATTAACAGCTTTCTGCTTTGACAGGAATTAGCTTACGTGGAGTAGATGCTGGTGTGACGATGTCAGAAGACCTGCACCTGATCTAGAGAAATTGAAAGACTTGTGGAGAGTGTGGCCTGTGATTTAGACTTTCTTTCTAGGTTTTCTGCTGCAGTGTGGGATGTTGCTTGCATTTTCTTGTCTCTGAAGATTCTTGAAAAGTATCTTCTTGGTTTTGTCACGTTGCAGTTCAGTGGCAAGTTTGTTGTAGTCAACGTGGAGCTACTGCAGTCTGTCGTTGTGTGGGGCCCCTTGAAGCAGGTCTGGTGGCAGACTAGATCTACCTTTTTGTTCTGTGAATAGAGAAGAAATAATCTGAGATGTTCCTCTTCTGTGATGGGCACAGATTGCTTTTAGCCTTTAGTGTAAATTCTGACTGTTATTTTGTGGCTCATAAAGTATACTTGAGTTCTTGTCTTTAACAGTCTTCTTAAAACAACAATTTCTACCTCTGCTTGTTCTTTTGTTTTTGTTTTGAACTCTGTCTTTTTCCTGAAGTCTGAAATCCCAGATAGTTACAAAAGTATTATTAGTTGATAAAGGAAATAATAACATAGCAGCAAGCAGACATTATTTATTGATGGCCTAGAGTTGTAGAGACATCTAATACACTACAAGCCTAGATATTGTTATAGCATAATCCCATTACTCACATGTTGGACATGAGCAGATTGGCCACGAGTCAGCAGTGCACCCTTGTAGTGATAAAGGAATGTCACTAGGAAGAGCAAGGAAGGCAATAAGTCCCTTCTGCTGTTCACTTCTGGGAGCCTATCTGGAGTATTGTGGTCAGTTTTATACAGCAGTAAGTCCATCATAGAGCTGCTGAGATGAGAGGGTTGGAGCACATGTCACGTGGTGGGAGAGCTGAGATTGTTTGGATTGGCTCTGGGGAGATCTTATTTTGCTCTTTAATTGTTCTAATTGGTAGTGAATACAGTATAGTGAATACAGAGCCAGGCTCTTCTCAGAGGTACATAGAAAAAGATGAGGAGCAGTGGGCTCAAATTGCATTAGGAAAATTCCAGATGGAATTTTCAGAGGAATATTTTCATACTGCAAGTGGTAAAAGAGGGGCCAAGAAAGGCAGTGGAAAAACCCATCCTTGGGGATATCCAAAACTCAACTGGACAAGATCTGGGGTTGGATCAGAGATCTCCACAGGTTTCTTCCGACCCAAATTATTCTTTGTAGGTTGCTCCAAAAATAATGCCTCCTGTTTATTTCCATAGAAACTGCAACAGATACGAAGAGCACAATAACACTGTTTGATAGAGAAAATTCTCAGCTACAAAACACTGTTTTTCAGCATAGCCACCACCATTAGCTATGTGTTTTTGCCAGTGATGAATAAGAGCCTGCATGCTGCACTTGTAAAAGTCTGTACTAGTGGAGGTGACCCCCTGTTTCACAGCTGCTGTGATGGTATTGTTGTTAGAAATTGTTGCCCATGCAGTCCATCTTTCATCAGCCAGTAAAGATGGAAGTTAGAAGGTGCCCAATCTGGACTGTGCAGAGTGTCATTGGACAGGCCAGCCAGGAATGGCAGTGTGCTCCATGGTCTTCAAACTAATATGGGTCCTGGAGTTATTGTATTGCAAGAGAAAGATTGTCGCCTTCTCTGGCCTGATTGTGGAAGTTCAAGCCTTCAGCTTAGTCAGCGTTGTGACCTGACAGTCTGAGTTGATGGTTTATCCATGTTCCAGGAAATCCAGAATGATCCCTCCTTTCCTATCCCAAAAGACTGTGCACAACACTTTACCATCTGAGGACTGTGTCCTAAAAGTTTTTCTTCAATGGGAAATTCAGATGTCACCAGTCCATATGCTGCCATTTTGACTCTGGCTCGTGGTGGTGGCACCACGTCTTGTCACTGGTAACGATGCGATCCAGGGAAATCACCTTCAGCCCTGTGTTGGTTCAGTAGGTCCTGACAGACTTGCATACAGAATTGCTAGTGTTCTTTCTATCCCTGTGTGAGCATTCGTGGGACCTGTCTGCTGCAAACTTTGCAGTATTCCAGCATTGCCAGTGTCATTGAAACAGATATTCAGCTCTGTACACAGTTCTCTGATTGTAATTTGCCTATTGGCGCAGATGAACTAATGGAGATGCTCTTTTTTGAGTAGTATGACAGCTGTGCATGGCTATCCAGAAAGTGGCTTGTCTTTCACGTCACTGTCACCACTGCTGAAATGCACTGCCCACTGCCTCCTTGTGCTTACATCCACTGTTCTATCTCCATAAACGTTCAGCAAGCATTGATGAATGTCAGTGAATGCTGTTTTTTCATCATGGAAGAATTCAGTTCCACAACTTTGCTTCACATGCACTTCCACGTCAGGCACCATTCTATCAGGCTGCCTCTCTGCTGCCATCTATCACACAGCAACAGAACATCATGAAATATTGGTGGGAAGTTTCAGCCACTACTGCCATCCCACCAACATCCACGTCTGATGTTGTGAGCCAACATCATAAAATAGAAGGCATTACTTTTGGAGCAGCCCTTGTATGATTCAAACCTGCTCAGGTCGGGGAGTTTCCCAGTTCTCATCTGCACATGTTCACTTGTTTAAGGAAATTCTATTATTTTGCCTACTGTTAAAAAGTTCTGTCCTGTCCTAATATAGATGAGCTTTATTTGTAGAGTTTGGTTCCAGGTTCTAATCAAGCCATAAGGAATAAATCTCATTAATTATTTGCTCTGTTTACACAGTTCTTCAGGGATATTTGAATTAGCTTGTTTCGTTCCTTGGCTAACACTGAACTGGTAAGTTCTCCACGTTTTAATAACGTTTGCGCTGTAGATTCATTTTTGCCTTTGAGAGGAATTTTCACTGTCTTGCTGCTGTGAGTGTAGACTTGAACAATTTCGCGTAGCTGAACAGGTTAGAAGAGAAATTGTACTCAGCTTAAGCCCACTGTTGACTACTGTGATATGCTAAAATGTTTTGTTTCAGTAAATCTTCAAATGGTGATTGTCAGAAGATTTAGTTTGGTAGCCTAGATCTTTTGCACTTGCTTGGAGCCTCATGTTGTTTCCTTATGTTTGCTGTTGGCCATTGCTAGACAAAAAATAAATATTAATAGAAAAACATACAAAGACAGATTTGGGGTCTGATGTGGAAGTTATTTTAAAGAG